AATCCCCATACATTTGGAATTTTTTTTAAATCCCCAATAATTTAAGATTCCAAAAAGAAATCACAATAGGGTTTTAGCAATATTTAGAACTGAATCATATTAAAATAACACATTTCAAAATGTGTGGAATGAAATTAAAGTCATATTCTGAGAGAAATTTATCCAAAAATACTTTTATAATGAAAGAAGTGTGCTATATATTAATAAGCTAAGTAACCAGCTTAAAAACATAGTGAAAGAGGGCTTCCCTGGTGGCACAGTGGTTGAGAGTCCACCTGCCGATGCAGGGGACACGGGTTCGTGCCCCGGTCCGGGAAGATCCCACATGCCGTGGAACGGCTGGGCCCGTGAGCCATGGCCACTGAGCCTGCGCTCCGCAACGGGAGAGGCCACAACAGTGAGAGGCCCGCGTACCGAAAAAAAAAAAAAAAAAAAAAAAGTAAAAGGAGCAGCTCTGTGTGGACAAATGGTGGGGAAATGAAAAGAAATTGACTACTGTTCAAACAACCTGCCCACAATCTGAAGTGTCACACGGACTTCCATTACCACACGAGGCAGTCTTGGTGCGCTCACTTCCCCATCATTTATTCAGGGGAGTGAGTCATTTGTTGAAATCTGAAACCTCTCAGAAGAAAAATACACCTGCAGGGGTTGCAGGAGGCTAGGCGTTTCTTCTTCAGTACCTGAAGCCCGAAAGGACCAGCTGATTCTTGAAGGAAACGACATTACATGTGCATCAAACTCAGCTGCTTTGATTCAGCAAGCCACGACCGTTAAAAACAAGAATATTACAAATTTTTCAGATGGTATCTTTATCTCTGAAAAGGAATGGTTCAGCAGGCTTATGGATAAGATCTAAGAATTTTCCAGCTACCAATGCAACACGATTCTAAATGGCACCCAAGACCAATTTGTGATTTTTTAAAATTAATTAATTAATTTATTTTTGGCTATGTTGGGTCTTCGTTTCTGTGCGAGGGCTTTCTCTAGTTGCAGCGAGCGGGGGCCACTCTTCATCACTGTGCGCGGGCCTCTCACTGTCGCGGCCTCTCTTGTCGCGGAGCACAGGCTCCAGACGCGCAGGCTCAGTGGTTGTGGCTCACGGGCCCAGTTTCTCCGCGGCATGTGGGATCTTCCCAGACCAGGGCTCGAACCCGTGTCCCCTGCATCGGCAGGCAGATTCTCAACCACTGCGCCACCAGGGAAGCCCCTGTGATTTTTTTTTAATTACAAAAACAACCTCATATGTTTTGAAAAAACTTTTTTTTTCATTCTGCATACCAGCAATGAGCAATCAGAAAATGCACTTTAAAAAAGATAGCATCGGCCTCTTGCCTTCCAAGATGGCCCACACTTTATGGAGTGTGTATCTCCCTGAATAAACCTTCTTTCGCTTTGTCTTGCTCTTGAATCCTTGCCTTCGCAAAGCCAAGAACCCACACTGGGCGGCCATCCCCGGGACGCAGACATGACTGGGGACGTGACCATCCTCTCGCGCCCCACTCTCTTTCCTGCAACATCTTTCCTGGCACCCAATGCGGGGCCTCCAAGGCCATAATCTCGATCTGCCTACTGGGCTATGGCTCCCCTCTGAAGGGTGGCTGGGACTTACCCTGAGCCACGTAGATTCAAGTAGCCCGTTAAGGGGCAGCTGACGTCGCCTGCAGGGTCTGACAGAGAGCAGTTCTCTGGCTGTGAAGAAGCGCACTGAGGCCAAGGCTTTCCCCCCTCCGTCTTTCTCATTCTCCTATTGTTCTATCTCTTTGGGCTTGAAAAGGTCCGCCCAGACGACCACCAAACATCCAAATTAAGACTGCGCGGCAAGTAATTGACAACTCGGTTGGGTCTAAAGAACTCCTGCCAGGGGATTTATCTGGTGGCGCAGTGGTTGAGAACCCACCTGCCAATGCAGGGGACACGGGTTCGAGCCCTGGTCTGGGAGGATCCCACATGCCTCGGAGCAACTAGGCCCATGAGCCACAACTACTGAGCCTGCGCGTCTGGAGCCTGTGCTCCGCAACAGGAGAGGCCGCGACAGTGAGAGGCCCGCGCACCGCGATGAAGAGTGGCCCCCGCGTGCCGCAACTAGAGAAAGCCCTCGCACAGAAACCGAAGACCCAGCACGGCCAAATACAAAAAAATAAAATATATAAAATAAAAAAGATAGCATTTACAATAGTAACAATAACTAGTATTTAGGAAGAAAAATGGAAAAAGATGACCAAGACCTGTGTGAAGGAATTGTCTCTCTTTCTTGAAAACATTTTTTAAAAGACTTACATGAATAGAGATATCCGTTTTTCGTGGGTTAGAAGACTTAAATTCAAAAACAAGTACACTCTTCCTGAATTGATCTATGGGTTCAATGTAATTCCAATCAAAACTCCAACAGGAGTACTTTTTTTGGAACCTGACAAACTGACTCTAACATTTAAATAGAACAACAAAGGGCCAAGGATAGGCAAGACAACTTCTGAAAAAGATTCAGGAGAAGGTTTTGCTCTGTTAGATACCAGGACTTATGTTTGAGTTTATAGATTCTGTTGACTGTAGACACAGCTCTGACTCAGGGACTATAAAATTGACCATTGGAATAGAAGAGGCCACAGAAAGAGGCCCACCCACATATGGAATTTTGATGTATGGCAAAAATGCCATGGCACATCAGTAGGGGAGGGAGCGAAGGACTATTCTATAAACGAAGGAAGGACATATATAGATCAACACTGCACACCACACACAAAACTCAACTCCCGGTAGATGAAGTCTTTAAATGTCAACAGGAAAACAAAACTTGTCATAGAAACTATACTTGAATATCCTTCTAATCTTAAGATGGGGAAGAGTTTCTTAAATGAGACCCAAAAGGCACTCAACAGAAAAGAGAAGACTGGTAAATATGGTTATATTACAATTCAGAACTTACCATCATCAGAGGTCACCTTTAAAAAAAGTGAAGATAAGCTACTCACCGGGAGAAGATATTTACCATGTATATAACCAGAAAGAAAAAAAAACAGTATAAAAATGTATAAAGAACTCCAACAAATTCAATAAGAAAAAGTCCAACATCCAGTAGGGGAATGGGCCGTAGATGGGACCTGGCATTTTATAGAGAACATGTTCAGATGCCACTGAAGACATAGAGAGACTTTTGTTTTCATTGGTAACCAAGGAAATGCAAACCAACACCATAGTGAGATGGTGAGATGACAAAAAAAAAAAAAATTGAGAAAACCAAGTGTTGGAGAGATTGTAGATCAACAGAATCTGATAAGCACCGATGGGAGTATAAGTGAATGCAGTTGCTTTGGAAAACCATTTGTCATGATCTTGTAAATATGAACTTTACATACACTATGACCTAGTAATTAAATTCTTAAGTAATGCTAAAGAAAAACTCTCACATGTGAACACAGTGAGACACGAATAAGAATGTTCGTAAGAGCAACACCTGGAAACAACTCAAATGTCCATCAATACAAGCTTAGATAATAGACATAATAATAAAATGAATTATTATACAATGGAGAACTGCAACTTTATGTAAAAATAGGAATGACTCTTTGTGACCTAATGTTGCATCTACAAAGCGAGTCCAAGAAGAGTAGGCAGAACGTGAAGCCCTTTGTAGGTTCAGAAGCAATTAAACTAAACAGTGCACATTTTGGGTAAACATATATGTGATAACACCAGCAACAAAAGATTCAGAGCAGGGCTACCCTGGTTGCGCAGTGGTTAAGAACTGCCTGCCAATGCAGGGGACACGGGTTCGAGCTCTGGTCCGGGAGGATCCCACATGCCGCGGAGCAACTAAGCCCGTGTGCCACAACTACTGAAGCCCATGTACCTAGAGCCCATGCTCCGCAACAAGAGAAGCCACTGCAATGAGAAGCCCGCGCAGCGCAACGAAGAGTAGCCCCCGCTCGCCACAACTAGAGAAAGCCCGCGTGCATCAACGAAGACCCAACGCAGCCAAAAATAATAAATAAATTAAATAAATAAATTTAAAAAAAAAGAGATTCAGAGCAGTGGTTACTGAGGATGGATCAGGGAGCAACATGGGTAGATAAAAGTCATCATCAATGTTTGAAGTCTTAGGTTGGACGGGAGGTTTACATTTGCTTATCATATTATGAAAAACAAAGCGAACACTGCATGTTCCAGTGATAATAGCTCGGTCACGAGCAAAGCATTTTGGATAACTCCACTTAGGGCAACGCGAACCCAATTTTAAAAAAGAGAAGGGGGGTCATGCTGGACAGGGACAGTGAGAGAAAATTACAACCCCCGCCCTCTCAAGGACTTTACAAATACGATGAGAGGGTGGAGACAGGTAAATATAGTGATGTTGTGTGATGTGACCCTCAGTACAGGGGTGGACACAGAGCTCTGGGGATATAGAGAAGGGAGGGATGGGCATTGACAGGGAGGGAGAGGACAAAGGTTTCCCAGAGTAAGAGATGTTAATGTTGGAGCTAGAAGGAGGAGGCGAGGTGGTCTGGTCGAAATGAGGAAGGAAGGGCATTTCAGGTAGAAGGAACTGTACATTCAAAGGCTCCGAGTCATCAGGTGATAGATTGCTATGGAGACAGTGAGAAGGCCAGTGTAGCTGGACCCTAGGGCAGGACCAGTGGCTGGAGCGGCCATCAGGGGAGACCTCAGGAAGGACTTCGTATATCAGACCAAGGATTAGGACTTGATTCTCTAAGCAATGGTAGCAAACAACAGCTTTGAAACTCCAGAAGGGCTGGAAAGTACTGGTTTGGGGGAGATGGTTCTGGAAGGCTGTATCTGGCAAAGAGGTGAGGTTGGCTCAGTGGTCAGCAGAGGGCCATTGCGTCTGGGGGATGAAGGGGAAGAACAGAAGGGGAGTCAATGCCCAGGTGTCTGCCCGGGGGACCAGGGAGGAGCAGGAAATACTGAGGAACTCAGTCTGGACCCACCGAGTGGACACGCCCAGGGCTCCCACTGCAGGAGAAGACGCCCACATCACTCACCCAGGCGATGGTACCCATGACAGGGTCTTCACCATCCACACCCTCTGGTCTCCTGGCTGCCTGCTTTCTGCGGGCTTTCACTCTAGGAGAAGAAACCAGTGGAAGAGAAGAGAAGAAACTGCAGCCAGGCCGGCTCAGGCAAAGGCAAGCAGGCTGCCCCCACTCCCTGGTAAGACAACTCAGGCATCCGGACCCTGGAACTGGACTCGGAGGCCTTCCTGACATGCAAGTGAGTGCTCCATCCTCCTGGATGACCAGGACCTTGGCCAAGACTGAATTTCCATCCCTAAAGACCCCGCTTACACATGAAAACTTGTACGTGAATGTTATTATTATTGGCAAATGATAGCCAAAAAGTGGAAACAACCCAAATGTCCATCAGTGGATGAGCGGATGGGTAGAAACGTGCTCCATTCATACCAGGGAACATTATTTGGAAATAAAAAGGAACAAAGTACGGACACATGCCACAACGTGCACGAACCTTGAAATCATCGCGCTAAGCAAAAGGAGTCAGTCACAAGGGACCACATATTTTATGATTCCACAATGTCCGGAATAGACAACTCTAGAGGGACTCAGATTCGTGGTTGTCTAGGGCAGGGCACGGATCAGATGGGACGACAAGGGGTGTGCGTTTCCTTTTGGTTTCATTTCATGGGCTAATGAAAAAGTTCTATCAAAATCATGGTGATGGACACACAACTCTGAATAGACTGAAAGCCAATAAATTGTACACCTTAAACGTATGGGAATTCTATCTCACGAAGGCTGTTACCTATTCCCCCCCAACCCCGCAAAAAAAAAAAAAGACCCCCTCTGGATCTAGTCTACTCAGCTCTGCCTTTCTGGGGTTAAATGACCGTTCTCTGGACTGCCTACCACACACACACCCCTGTACACCTCCCCAAGAACACAGGCTTACATGCAAAAGAAGATAACACACAAACACAGTGACAGCAGGGCCATGGCACCGGCACCTGCAAGGGCCCCACGAACCACTCCGGTCAGGGGTGCCGGTTTCCCTGCAGAGGAGAGGGCTGTGAGATGAGCTCACTCCTAAGATTCAGTCTCTTGCCTTCCCACCTCCTTGCAGAACTTGCTGGAGAACCCCTTCAGGTCTGAGATGGGGCACCCTGTCCTAGCAACCACCTTCTGTCCAGGCCCCAGCCCCTCTCCCTCCAAGCATCATCTTCTAGGACCTTAACTCCTTTCCCCCTAAGCCTCTGCCCTCAACAGGCCCCCTGACCTGGCAGCAGCAGGACAGTGGCGCTCTGGGCCCCGTGGACGTTCAGGGCCTCGCAGCTGAGTCTGAGGCCAGAGCTGAGCCCCTCGCGGAGGCTCAGGGAGCTGTTGACCCAGGGCCCAGCTGAGCTGGAGGTGACCTTGAAGGAGGCGTTGCTGAAATTCCCCTCCAGCAGCCCCTCCCCCAGCCGCCAGCGCAGGGAGGGGGCCGGCTGGGCTCGGGAGGAACAGTCGCAGTGCAGACCCTCCTCCTCCTGGGAGCAGGAGGGTCCCAGCAGCTGCGGGGGGTCTGTACAGAGGGAGGAAAGTCAGCGGTGCCCCTCCCCTCACCTGGGCCCAGGTGTCCTGCCCCCAGGGGTCCCCGCACTCACAGACCACCGAGAGGCTCAGAGACGTATTCTGGGAGCCCAGAGGGTTCTGAGCTCGGCAGGTGAATTCTCTTTCTGCAGCGCCTAAGCCTGGCAGCTCCAGGATCTTGGTGCTGGAGATGCGGGTGGCGTTCAGGGCTGGGGACGTCCGGAACCAGCTCAGCTGTGCAGGGGGGTTGCTGTCAGCCACACAGAGCAGCTGCAGAGCCTGGCTCTCCGAGATGAGAAGGGATGAGCTGTTTTGTAGAGCCTTGAGGGCTTTGGGGGAAAGTGCAGCGAGAGCTGGGGGAGGCTGAGGTCTCATCCCTCCTGCCTTCCCAGGATCTAGTTGGCCTCTCCCCCTCCTCCCCTGGCCAGCTAGCTTGCTTCGGTGTGGGTTCCAAGGCTGGACCCTCACACCCTAAGGAGGTTGACACAACGTGTCTGGGCCTCGTATCTTCAGGGGAGGCTCAGTGTCTCAATGGGACGTGCCTGGGCTGTTTGGTGGAAAGAGCACAGAGAGCCTCAAGCCTTGGGAAACTGATTCAGTGAAGGCACCAGGAAATGAGACGCAGGCGGTTCTGTGCAGGAAAACCACAGAGCACAACCATGGTGAAGCGAAATGGGCTTTGAACAGAGTGTGTGAGTGCGTATGTGTGTGGTACGTGTGTGTGTGTGGCCTGTATGTGTGTGTCCATGCGTGTGTGGGTGCATGTGCGTCTGCATTTCTGTATGTGTCTGTGTGGATGTGTAGAGATGTGGATGTGGATACGTGTGTACCTGCATGTATATATGTATGTGTATGTACGTGTATATGTGTATTGAATCTGTGTGTGGACTAGCGCCTGGGAGGTGGGGGAGAGAAGGTGGTGATTTTTATCCTTGCTCTTCCCATATGTGATGGCATTCAAGCCCTAATCCCACCCTCTCTGCTTGGAGGTGGTCCCAGGAGCTGGACCCAGCCCCGGAGAAGAGAGGTCCTTTCCTACCTGTGACATTTCTGAAGCAGAGGTTGATACTGAGGTTCCACGGAGCATCTAGGATGGAAACATATGGCCTTGCTTCAGAGCTGAGCAGTGGGCAGTGGGATGGAAACTGACCCAGCACCCAAGGAAGGAAACCAGGAAGGGGACATGGCTGTCCTCATGGCCTCTCCCCACCTCGGCTCCCAAGGCGCAGATCCATAAAAGAGTGAGCTGGCCCTCGTTCTATCCCTGCCCTCTACACACACACACACACACACACACACACACACACACACACACAGAGCCGACTGCCCTCAGGGACCCAGCCCCCCTCCAAACTCACATGACACATTGAGTCGGATGGTTCTCTCCATGGTCACTTGATCTCCTTGGAGTTCCACTCGACAGGTGAGGTTCGTGCCGTGGTCCTGGGGCCTCGGGGTGAAGGTGAGCACCGAGGAGTGGAGGGTCTCTGGGTCCATGGCATCAAGGGCATCCCCCGCCCAGGAGAATGAGAAAACTCTTCCCCCATCACAGACTAGTGACAGGTGGCAAGTCAGGTTTGTGGGGCGGCCGGACTCCAGAGCCTCCAGAAAATGGATGTCAGGTTTCTCTGTTGGGGCTGACGAGAAGAGAGGGAGATGCCTGGGCCCCAGGGGGGGTGGGGGCCCAGAATGTGACCCTGAGAGGGACCAGTGCTTCAGAGCCACAGCTCACCCCAGGTCCTGTGTCTCTTCTGAACCCCTAAACCCCAAGACCTGGAGCAGGGAGTGGTCCTGTGTCCTGTTCCTGTTCTAATACGGGAGTCTCCACGTCCCAGGGTCCTCTCCTGGGCCCCTGCCATACCTGTCACCTGCAAATTCAGCTTCGTATCTCTGTAGCTGTATTTCCTATCACCTCCCTCCACTCGGAAGAAGTAGACTCCTGTGTCGCTCATCCTGGCATCTCTGATGTTCAGGGAGCAGTTTTCTTTCCTGCGGTCCCGGAAGAGGTGGAATCGGCCCTGGGTCTCTGGCTTCACTTGTCTACGTGGGTTGTTTGTGGCCACAGGATCACTGCGGTGTACGTTGTCCCCTTCCCGGAACCAATAGACGAAGGGTTCTTCATAGGAGTACCACGGACTCCAAGGGTAGGAAAAAGAGCAGGGCACGTAGACACCCAGGCACGCCTGCACCGTCACTGATTCCTGCACTAGGAGCTGGTACCCCCAGTTCTCCTGCAGGGACCCTGGGGGACACAGAGGCTCCGCTGAAGCTCCAGCCCCTCCCCCACCCTTGCCGCCCCTCCTCCCTCGGCCCACTCACCCCCCCAAAGCAGGGGCAGCAGCAGCAGGGGCACCATGTCCGCGTCCGCCAGCGCAGAGCCCGGGTCCAAGTGCCTCAGTCAGGGAAGGAAGCGCCGCGAATGTGGGGAGCGACCGAGGAAGCCCCAACAGGAAGCCAGTGGGTGACAGCGACAGCCTTGGCCAAGCAGAAGGGGAACTTGGACGCCACAGGCCACAGGAGGGGGCAGGTCTCTCCCATTTGCAGCTGCAGACTGCGAGCTACTGAAATGTGAGGCTTGTCTAGGCACCCAAGGCCCCACAGCTGTAGCCCTTCCCCCTGCACTGTTGTCTACACGGGGAAGAGAGCATCACCTGTCCAGCTCCCTGGGGATCAGGGCCTCTGGGAGGTCAAAGAGCAAATTCATTATCACATGTTGAAGGGAGCCCAGGCTGAGGGTCCAGGTGATGGAGGCCTGCCCCCAAGTCAGGAGAAAGGTAAGTTCTCAGCAACAAGCATGTCAGTTGGACATGACTCGGTCCACAGCTGTGGACACCACCAGTCACCCTGGAGCCTCCTGACCCCATGGAGTTAGGTCCCCGTTCCCATCACTGTCCTCGTCCCAGGCAGCCTCAGACTCTGGTCCTGGTGTTGATGCCCAAAGCAGACCGAGCACAGGGTGTTTCGAATGTGGGAGTTGAAGGCAAGGAGTGCCCGGGTTGGAACCCAGACACCTGCCTACCTACCAACTCACCTGCCACCTGTTCAACTTTACCAAAGTTACTTAGCCTCTCTGTGCCTCAGTTTGCTCATCGGAAAAACAGAGACACTAGCAGAAATGCTGTGTGAGGATTAGATGAGTTCATATGTGTCAAGCGCTTAGGACACAGCCTGGCACTGATACTTGCTCATTCAACTAAGGCTTTGAGGACACCTGCTGTGTGCCATGCCCCCATGCAGGGGCTATGTAGGGGCTGGAGATATAACACAGGATAAGCTCCTAGGGTGGAAAAGGTGAGTCAAAAATCTGAGTGGGGAGACTAACATTTAATAAGAAAATTAAGATACACAGTCTCAGGGCTTCCCTGGTGGCGCAGTGGTTGAGAGTCCGCCTGCCAATGCAGGGAACGTGGGTTCGTGCCCCGGTCCGGGAAGATCCCACGTGCCGTGGAGCGGCTGGGCCTGTGAGCCGTGGCCGCTGGGCCTGCACGTCCGGAGCCTGTGCTCCGCAGCGGGAGAGGCCACAACAGTGAGAGGCCCGCATACCGCAAAAAAAAAAAAAGATACACAGTCTCTTGGAGAATAATGTAGTCTAAGGAAACAATTAAAATCAGGAAAGCAGGAACTCGCCTGGTGGCGCAGTGGATACGACTCCGTGCTCCCAACGCAGGGGGCCCAGGTTCAGTCCCACAGGGAACTAGATCCCACATGCATGCCACAACTAAGAGTTCGCATGCCACAACTAAGGAGCCTCCCTGCCACAACTAAGACCCTGTGCAACCAAATAAATAAATATTGAGAAAAACAGGAAAGCAGAAGAGGAATAGTTGAGAACTGCTGAAATTTTTAAAAACGTGGCTGGGGCAGGCCTCATGGAGAGGGTGACGTCTGAGTAAACACATGAAGAAAGTAAGAGAATGACGCCTATGGGTATCCAGGCAAAAGTGATCCACCCCGAAGGAAGAGCGCATTCAAAAGTCCCAAGGTGGGAGCCTGTGTGGTGTGTTTAGCGCAGCTGGATGACGGGGTAGCAGAGTGATTAACGGGGTGAATAAGGAGAGTAGGTCTGAGAGGTATCATAGGTCAGATTATGAAGAAATTTTGAGACTATTGTAAGAATTTGGCTTTTACTCTGGGTGTATTAGGGTTCTCTAGAAACAGAACCAACAGCATGTGTATACATACATAAAGAGATTCATTATAAGGAACTGGCTTGTGTGATTACAGAGGTTGACAAGTCCCAAGATCTGTGGTCAGCAAACTGGAGACCCAAGAGTGCTGATGGTGTGGTTCTAGTTTGAAGGTGTGCAGGCTTGAGACCTAGGAAGAGCTGTTGTTTCAAGTTCGAAGGGAGGAAGAAAACTGATATCCCAGCTGGAATGCATTCAGGCAGGAGGAGTTCCCTTACTCATGGGCGGGTCAGCCCTTTTCTTCTATTCGAGCCTTCAACTGATTGGATGAGGCCCACCCACATTCGGGAGAGCAATCTGCTTTACTCAGTCTACTGATTTAAATATCAATCTCATCCATGGGGGGATATATATATATATATATATATATATATATATATATATATATACACACACGATGGAATACTACTCGGCCATAAAAAAGAACAAAATTTTGCCATTTGTAGCAACATGGCAAACATGGACTTGGAGGGCATTATGCTAAGTGAAATAAGTCAGACAAAGAAAGACAAATACTGTATATCACTTATATGTGAAATCTAAAAAAAGAAAACAAACTAGTGATTATAGCGAAAAAGAAGCAGACACACAGACGTAGAGAACAAGCTAATGGTTACCATTGCGGGGGGATATAGAGGTGGGGGAGCGGGTTCGAGCCCTGGTCTGGGAAGATCCCACATGCTGCGGAGCAACTAAGCCCGTGCGCCACAACTACTGAGCCCGTGAGCCACAACTACTGAGCCTGCGTGCCACAACTACTGAGGCCCGCACGCCTAGAGCCCGTGCTCCGCAACAAGAGAAGCCACCACAATGAGAAGCCCGCGCACCACAACGAAGAGTAGCCCCCGCTCGCCGCAACTAGAGAAAGCTGGTGTGTGGCAACAAAGACTCAACGCAGCCTAAAAAAAAAAAAAAAAAAAAAAGGATGTATTGTGCATTGTGGAAAATATAGCCAATATTTTGTAATAACTGTAAATGGAAAGTAACCTTTAAAAACTGTATTAAAAATTTTTAATTTTTTCAATAAATAAAATTAAATTAAAATGTAAACAAAACAAACAAACAAAATGCAAACAAACAAAAATCGGTCTCATCCAAAAACACCTTCACAGAAACACCCAGAATAGTGTCTGACCAAATGTCTGGGCACCTCATGGCCCAGCCAAGTTGACACATAAAGTGAGTCACCACACTGAGTGAGTTGTTATGATTTCAACAGCGATACTGATGCGTGTGTGTGGTTTTCTTCCACATCACCAAGCAATTAACTCAATTCTGACGCCACCTCCCTAAAGATAGCATCCGATCCCACAGGTTAAGGGCTCAGTCCCACAAAACTGCCTCAACTTCAGACACCAATTACAAGTCCAGGTTGTCACCTGTGCTTCTGATCCACTGGCTATAGATCAGAGGTTCCCATGATCTCCTCCTTGGGTTCCATTGATTTGCTAGAGCAACTCACAGAACCCAGAGAAACCAGTTTACTTACTATCTTACCAGTCATCTAGGTTACTAGATTATTACAAAGGATATTAAAGGATACAAATCAACAACCAGATGAAAAGATGCATAAGGCAAGTTATGCGGGAAGGGGCATGGAATTTCCACGCTCTCCTGGGTACACCATTCTCCCTGAATCTCTACCTGTTCACCGGCCTGGAATCTCTCCAAACCCCATGCTTTCGGATGTTTTGGCGACTTCACTACATAGTCATGATTGATGAAATCAGTGGCCATTGGTCATTGATTCAACTTCTGGGGTCCTCTCTCTTCCCTAGAGGTCAAGGGCATGGGACTGAAAGTTCCAACTCTCTAATCACCTCTAGGGCTTCCCTGGCAACCAAGCCCCATCTTAAGTGCGTCTCAAAAGCGGCTTCATTAAAATAACACAAGACCCCTTTATCCCTCTCATTACTTAGGAAATCCCCAGGTTTTTAGGAGCTCTGTGCCAGAAACAGGGATGAAGACCGAACGTACATATTTCTTATTATAAATCACGATATCACAGGTGTGAAGGCAGTTCAGGGCTTGAGCAGAAAAGGGGCAGGCTCTGATTTACTTTCGCCTGATCACTCTACTACTTGCTGTACGGAGCGTAGACTCCTCTGCCAGGGCTGTTGCAAATGCCTGGGATGTGAGATGGGGGTGGCCAGGTCAGACCAGGTGGAGTTGGTGAGAAGCAGACCAGAAGCTGAACGCCAGAACCCTTTCAGAAGCAAAGGGTTTGTTGTCCAGGAAGATCTGGAGCTGAAGCACCCGTTATATATACCTTACCACAAATGACCTCCAATCCAGACCTCCCCTATCACTGGTTCTGCATACCAACCTCCTCCCCTAATTCATAAAACTTTGACCAAACCCCACTTGGGGAGACAGATTTGAGCTTTGCCTCCTGTCTCCTTGCTGGTCAACCACTCAGTCAAGCTTCTTCTTTTCTCAAAAGCCGGTACCATCATACTGGCTTCTAGGTGCATCGAGCAGTGAGCACTTTGCTTGGTTACAGTTGCCGACGTGAAGCCACCATTGCCACAGAGGCAAAAACTTCAAGGGATTTTTAAAAAATATTTATTTATTTATTTTGGCTGCTCCGGGTCTTAGTTGCGGTCTGCGGGATCTTAGTTCCCTGACCAGGGATCGAACCCGGGCCCCCTGCATTGGGAGCACGGAGTCTTAACCACGGGACCACCAGGGACGTCCCTAAGGGATTTTTAAAGAGGATTGGGCGCTCTACTGGGAATGTGTGGAGTGAGAAATGCATATTTGACGCACAAATGGAGAATCAACAGAAGGTACTCATTCTATGAGTCTGGAGTTTAAGGAAAAGTGCTAGCTGGACACACAAACTTGGCCTGTCACCATGCAGACAGCATTTCAAGTCATGGGCCTAAGAGAGATCAGAGAGGGAGCGAGTTTAATTGGAAAAGATAAGGGAGTTCCCTGATGGCGTAGTGGTTAGGATTCCAGGCTTTCGCTCCTGTGGCCCAGGTTCGGGGAACTGAGATCCCGCAAGCTACACTGCGCGACAAAAAAAAAAAAAAAAAAGGAAAAGAGATGGGGACCATCTCCAGGGGCTCTATGAGCTGCATATCAGACCCAGCTTCCTGCTGAAAATAACTAAAATTACAATTTCATTTTAAAATAAATAATCATTGTAACTGTTCTGAAAATCCTCGAAGCGCTGGCAGGAGAGAGGAATTTTCAGTCCGAAATCTAGGAGAGGGTGGAAATCCAGAGAGGGAACCCAAGTCACACATGCC